TCTCCAGTCCCTAGTGGACAGCTATCCAGCTCAAAAGTGGGTTGATTTACATTTGATGGGACAACCTCACCTGACATGTTAAGATGTATATGTTGCTAAATTATTTAAGTGTTAGATTACCTATATCTGCATTAACGTGTACAAAATGTCACTTACTACTCATGGGACACATGAAAATAATCGTGATCCAGAGGTACTACTTAAAAACTACTAGGTTTTATTATCTTTTAATGGAAACGAGACCTCTAAAGTTTCACAAGTGACTTTGAAAATCTTACCAAGAGTAAATGGAAAGAACTCCTCCTTACTTTTAAAATTAATTCTATACTTAGTGCTTGCCAACACCAAAATTTGGAGAGGGCAGTAAAAGTCACTTCATGCTGAAGGCTAGTGTAAAATCAATTCCTAAGTTCTCTACAAGTCCCCCAAATTATGAGGTGCAGCTATGGTGACCCTCACAGGAAGGGACTTTTTCTTTTATACCAGCAGCTGTAGTTTGCTCTATGAAGTCATGCTCAAAATAACACTTGGATTTTTAGAACAAAAATAGTTTTTGTAATTGACTTTGTCGTAAGTTACCATGGAACTCAAAGAATTGGTGAGAGTTTATATTAACCGCAGAAGACTATCCCTTGTTCTGTTAAGAACTTGAGAAACTCAGAATCAGTAATGAAAATAGGGAGTGAAGTACAACATCATACAAGACTACATGGGTAGCAGTATCAATAATACTGAATCTATGTCTAAAACCATGAAAAAGGAATTTCTTTGTTTGATAAAGCACTTCAAAATGCTTGTATTCCATTGTTATGGTCTCTTAACAAGATATACTAAAATACATAATACCAGTTGTATTTTCATGTTGAAAATAAAGTGCCAATATTAAGGTATTTATTTCCCCTATGATAGATGGCTGGAACTCTCCTTCCACATGTTCGAACTGACCCCATCCATATGTGCATTCACCCCGAAATGTTATTCATGCTCTCCTTCGCATCTTTTGCACACAGCTTTTGAGCATGCAGCCAGTTACACGTGCAAGTATATGCCCACTGTGTGTTGTATATGCCATTAGTCACTTTCCTGCACATTAAATAGCAAATGAAAAACGTCTTCAGCTTTCAGACTTTTAAAAAAAGCACT